TAGTCTCAGTGTGGGGTGAGGCAGGAGAACCTCCATGAGTTTGCAGCTGACTTGGGTTACCTAGTCAGAGCCTGCCTCACAACACCCAAACACACACACACACACACACAAATAGAGGAAGAAAGAAAGGAAGAAGAAAGGAGACCCATAAAGAATGACTTTCTTAAATTCATACAGGAAGTGTCCATTAAAGTACTTCAAAGGAATTATTTTATCTGACTTCCTTGTGGATCCTCTGTTGACCTACATCTTACCTGTCATTGTATTATGCTGCATTTTGGAATGAAATTAGAGTCTCCGTAAGTGAAATCAGACTTCTCAGTGAGAAAGAATAGAAAGATGGACCTCGGTGGCTAGAATAGGCTTTGAAACCTCCAAAACTTCTGAGTTTAGTGCCAATTCCTTTCGGTTGTATTGTTCAGGGTTCCTTTTGATGCTTTACATTTTAAATTTTGTTTACTCTCAGAACATTCACTTTTATAAATTCTGCTAACACAGAGATAGTCACACAAGGCTACTTAGGATACTACAAATAGTTACTGTTAGAGACAGAATCTGTGTTTGCATTGGGATGTCATTTTGCTTTAGAATTTCCTACTCTGGTGTTCTGGTTGCTTTGGATGTTTTCTCAAAAATGTAGATGTCACTGATGCAGGACAGTTCTAGGAAGTATCCGGATTCTACGTCTCCTCAGTACATCCAGCCTCCTTCTGTCATGTATGAAGGGGAGTCGACTATTCTCAGAAAGAGAGCAGGAACCAATCCAAGTCTGAGTTGACCTGCACTCATCTTCCTTTTGTTTCCATCTCCATCCCAACAATTCTTTTACTGGAATAGGGAAGAATATTCAATGTCATGCCTTAAATATTTAACCAAGAGACAAAAATTCTTATGGACGATGTAGCAGTCACCTTGATTTAAACAAATTAATCCTCACCATTACATTTCCTTGCTAACAGGGTAGTATGAGGGAGTCCCTGAACTGGCAGGAGATGGGCAAAGAGAACCAAGGAGGCCCTGAAGGTACAGGAGCCAAGACGCTAAGCCAGGCTTCTGCTATAAAACATTTGGCTTGAGTGCTGCCGTTCTTCCATCACTTCTGATTAATTTAACTTTTAATTCTCTTCCTGCCTTTGCTGTAGTTGCTTAGAATTCCTTGTTTTGGAGCAAGTATCCAGTCATCTGACTGTAGAGTCTATGAACTTCCACTGGGGAGAATGATTGAGGGAAGATACTAAAAACCACTCTTTTCTAATCCTTGTGAAATAGACTGTTCTCTCTAAGAAATACTGTACAGTGTTGACTGGAAGAGGCAGGTCAGGTAGCTGCAGATAAGTACATAGGTGGTAAGTAACTGCTGATTCAATGGAGAATAAACATGGTATTCTCAAGTATCAAAGTCAAGCGAATAGTACTTGAGGGGAAATCTAAACTATGATTGTAGATCCTTATAACCAGAAGCCTAGCAAAGAGCATCCTCCTTCAGGGATTGCACAGATGCTAATTAAGGCCCGAACTGCATTGAAGGAGAATGGAGGGAGACCCTTCACACAGTCATCAGTGTTCTTACTCATCGCATTGAACCGTCGACCATGCTACTCATTGGATTGCATGAATGGGTAAATGATTCCTCGATTCATTTTAAAGTTCTCAGCAGCTCTGCAGCTGTCCTAGATGAACTCTGACCTCTTACTGTCCCCTTCATCTTGCTTCATATGGATATTTATCTCAGCTGTCCTCCAAAAAAGGATTCTCCCAGCTTTTTCTACTTCTCACGGGGAATAGATTAATGGGCATGCCAGAATTCTTGGAGATTTTGGGAATGAGGGCTATACTTTTGTGTGACTTCCTTAGAGGAGATGTAAATTTGCCTTCTGTCAGCCAATACTCTAACATAATACCTTCAATAAAATTTAAATATAAATTAACACACACACACTTTCATCTCTACCAACTTCATTTCTGTGCCTACACATTATTTCTATCGCTGATGATCAGCCAGCTGGCACTTTCCATCTCAGTTGGCTAGAGAAACTGAACAGGGATGGAGCTGTTCCATTTACTGAAAACAAATGGTTTATTATCTGAAATTCAAATACTTTAATATGCTCTTCAAGAAATTATCTGGTTTGAGAAAACTGTAAAAGGAAAATTAAAGGAGAAGGAGGAGAGCCAGAGGAGGACAACTGACAAATGTAAATCCTTTCTGACAGAAAAAGATGGGGACTAAAGAACGCATTTTAAATAGGTTTTTTAAAATTAATTTTTTATTAATCACAATTTATTCACTTTGTATCCCAGCTGTAGCCCCCTCTCTCATCCCCTGCCAATTCCACTCCCTCTTCCTCATCTCCTCCCATGCCTCTCCCCAAGTCCACTAATTTGGGAGGTCCTCCTTCCCTTCCCTCTAACCCTAGCCTATCAGGTCTCATCAGGACTGGCTGCATTGTCTTTCTCTGTTGCCTGGTAAGGCTGTTCCCTGTCCCTCAGGGGGAGGTGATCAAAGAGCCAGCCACTGAGTTCATGTCAGAGACAGTCCCTGTTCCCCTTACTAAGGAACCCACTTGGAGACTGAGCTGCCATGGGCTACATCTGTTCAGGATTTCTAGGTTATCTCCATGTATGGTCCTTGGTTGGAGCATCAGTCTCAGTAAAGACCCCTGTGCCTAGATTTCTTGGTTCTGTTGCTCTCCTTGTAGAGCTCCTGTCCCCTCCAGGTCTTTCTGTCTCCCCCTTCTTTCATAAGATCCCTGCACTCTGCCCAAAGTTTGGCTATGAGTCTCAGTATCTGCTTTGATGCCCTGCTGGGTAGAGTCTTTCAGAGGCCTTCTGTAGTAGGCTCCTGTCCTGTTCCCTATTTTCTCCCTCTTCTGATGTCTGTTCCATTTGCCTTTCTGAGTGAGGACTGATCATCTTACCCAGGGTTCTCCTTCTTGCTTAGCTTCTTTAGGTGTACAGATTTTAGTATGTTTATCCTATAAGGCTGAGTCAGGAAATGGGAGAAGAGCTTTTGAAGTCTAGACTATCTGTCCTAGGCACTGTGGATGCTGTCTAAGTTACAGCAATACTCTGAGGACTGGTGGTTTTGTTTCTTTTCATTTCCCTTGGAGGTTGGGGAATGAGTTACAGGTTTAGGATCCCTGACTGGATCTTGTCCCCACTGGCCACAGTGGATTATTGTGTCCTCATTCACAAGCCTCTTCTTAGTCTGGAGAAAATCCTTTTTCTTTTTTATTTTCTTTAAGCCCTATGTCTTTTTAAATCTTCTAAGTTATTTAGCAAAACCTATATAAAATATTGAAGGTCTTTAGAAACAAGGTCCTAGTGAATCAGGTTGTATAGTCCAACTTCTTCCATCTCTTTCTCAAATATCAACCAAGATGGGGAGCCCCACATCTTCAGATATTTTGACTTTGGAAGGAAGAATAATGACCTTTGGCTTTACTTACCTCCTGATATCTGAGGAATGTGATATACAGAACAGTAGGTTGACACAGGGCTATTATCTTTTATAACAACTTTTTATTGGTTCTTTGTGAATTTCACACCATGCACCCCAATCCCACTCATACCCCCCTTTCCTCATACCCGCCCTCTACCTTTGCAACCTCCCTCCCAACAGAGAAAAAAAGAAAACCTTGTTGTGGATACTGTAGTTTGTAACAGTGTATCCCACTGTATCCCCTTTAGTCCAGACCTCTTTGCTTGCAAATGTTCATTGCAATGAGTCACTCATTGCAATGTTTCTGGTTCAAGGCCTCTGGCTTTTGCTGCACCATCAATACTGGAACCTCACTGGCACTCCTTTTGGATATCCTGTTGTTGCCCTGTGTCATGGAGATGTGCAGATTTGGATCTATGTACTCCAGCAGTTTACCAATGGTGTAGATATTGGGGTGGTCCATTCAAAGCCCTGGATCTGTGCCTGAGAGTTATCTGAGCCACGTCATAGGACAAGCTCTCCTGCCCTGCCTCGGCTGGCTTATCCAATGTTTCAGCGAGGAGCAGTGACACTCTGATGACCTTGGGGCCAACTCTTCTGCCTGCTGTAGGTGGCAAGGGGTGAGGGGTGGTATCTTTCTGTCACCCATGTCACCACACAAAGCAGACAAGTGACTGGGCCAGCTCTCTCATGTTCATGCCCTCTGGGCTGGCTCACCGGAGCCCCTGACACTAGGGTCCTTCTACTGTGCTGCGCAGGCGAGATGCAGGACCCTTTCTCTCTCGAGTGCTGCAGCTGGTGAGGGGCAGGTCAAGCTCTTCTGCTCCCATGACTGTAGGGCCAGGTCTCCCATCTGCAACAGGTAGTGAGAGGCCAAGGAGGAGAGGGACATCTCTTTCTCATCCATGCTACCACAAGGAGATGAATGGCAGGACCAGCTCTTCTACTCTCATACCCTTAGGGCAACTCCCACACCAGGGCCAGCTCTACTGTTCTTCCCCACAACCAGGGCCAGGTTCCTGAGAGATGTGTAGGTCCACTCTCCCGAGTAACTCAGTTGGCCAGGGGGCAAGGCCAGCTCTCCCATGATGCCCAGGGCAGATGTGGCTACATTCACCATGTTGTTCCTTATCATCCTCACATCTCCAGTTCTGCCTCTCTCCATTATGTGAGGATGATAAGGGACAACATGGTGAATGTAGCCAGTGATGCCACCTGGAACCATGGTGGGGTCCTGGCCACAACTGTTGTTCTCACAAAAGGCCAGGCAGACAACCCTTGTCTGGGCTGCTGCTGAAGAACATGCTGATATTTCAGGGCTCTGCAGAACTGGACCCACATCTTCTGTTTCTCTTTCATTTCTCCACCACTTATTTGCTCCTCTTAATGGTGTCTGGGGTCTCTGCATGGCTGGGGTCATCTCCAGCATGGTCTGCCTCCCCTCTACCCACTTCCCAGGCCTATACAGTGTCAGACTGGAGGTTGTCTCAGGCTAGTCCTCTGTCCGGGTCCCCTGGCGTCGGACTGGTGGTAGTCTCCAGCTCAGTTTTCTTCAGGGGATGTTAGGCAGCTAATCATGCAGATGTTCCCAGGTCAGAACCCCAAGTGTAGACACAGCCCCTCTCCTCTCTACCACCCACTGACACACATGTAACACAGTAGCCACACCTGCAGTGCCTCTAGGGGCAACATAGTGATATTGTTTTAAGTCATCCGGAATGTGTAAATTTGTAAAGCAATAAGAACAACAATGCACATTCAAGAATTTTCTTCCTGAGTTTGAAGCCATGTGAGAACCAAAACAGAACTATAGGAAGCAGAAGAGTAGAGATAAGAAAATATTAGTTTTATTACCAAGTAAGTATCTTTTCACTTGTGATCTCTGTAAACTAGTCAACACTTTACCCTTGAATTAGAAAGTTCTGGGAACCCATTCACTTCTAGAAGTCTAACAAGCCAGTCTCAATGAGCAACCAACATAGACCTGCTCTTTCATTAGAGAGGAACTCGTGTGTTCATCTTGGGAGCAGGCGAAATCAAGAAGGAGGAAATACGGAAGATGCTATATCCACAGAATTCTCTCCAGTCACCAGTGAGATCCATCACTGTCTCTTTGTCTTGGGAAGGGAAAACAAGGGAGTTAGGAATGTGTCAAGCATTCTTTCCTACAGAACATGTGCTTTGAAAAGCAGAGTCTTCTTCTAATACCTGATACTGGTCTTTGTTACTGAGAAAGTGAAAACATAAGAAAAAACTTATACCTCAAAAATCATTCTTCCATTTATTGTAAAGCCAGGCTTGATGGCACATGACTATAATTCCAACACTAGGGAGACTGAGGCAGGGGAATTGCAAACTCATGGTTAGTCTAGGCAGTATAAATGTCTGTCTAAACAAACAGAGTGACAGACAGAAGGCTTCATATGCTTAATTTAAGTATTAACTTCCCTCTTTTGTACATAAAAAATATAATTTTTATCAATCAAACAGCAATTGTCCTTTGGGATCTTTTGATAAATGTTGATCAAATCAATACATATGATTGTAATGCCATGAAATAGCTGATATCCTTCATGCCTTCTGTCTCGGCTTGGGGCTGTTTTGATATGTCGCTTCTTATATAATTTCTGGTTATGTCTCCACTGATGTAACCCTAATGCTTCCATTCACTTAGCATTCAGAATCCTTACTCAATAGACAGCAAGCATCCCTGTGTTTTCTAGCTGTTTCTCCTGGTGGTGGCATGCACCCAGGTCACTCCTGAAGAACATTTCTTCCCTGGGACAACTTACCTCTCCAAGACTTCATGTCATAATCTTCATGTCCTAAGGCTTCTGTACCCTTATTCGGCCCCCAGCTTCTCTGTACTGATGGGAATTGGTTACTGGTGACTAAAGTACCCTCCAGAAGCAGCTTAAAGAAAACAGTGTTTATTTTGGATCATAGTTTCAGAGGGATTTCAATTTTTTCATAGCAGGTGGTGGGAGAGTCTCAATCCATGATGGGTGGGGCCCGAGGCAGTGGGTCTTCATAGCATGCAAAGTAGGACACACAACTACAGGGCAGAGCCTGAAGCAGCTATGAACTTCAGGGTCCATCCCTGATGACTTACTTTTCCCATGCGGTTTCCCATGTGAAGTCACCACAGTCTCCAGAACAGAGTCACAAGATGGGGTCCAGGACTCAAAGTGTGAGTCCTAGGGGACATATCTGGTTTAAGCCATGCTTGGATTCAAGAGCCTCTCTTCTGTGACTGTCTAACCTCTCTTTTCAGTTACCTACTGATCACACAATCATATTTAGTCTTCAATCCTGATTACCAGGTACTTGTGCTTCCAAAGTCCAGTCCTCGTCCTGAGAGCCTTTTCTTGTCCCTAGACTTCACTCCATGTTTGGATTCCATTTCTTTCTTTGCAGGGCCCCTTCTTGATAGTTAGCTTCAGCCATGCACAACCATGGTCTGGAGCCAAAAACGGTTATGAAATTCTAACTCAGACTCACACCTCTGAGCTTCTGGATCATTTTTTCTCAGGATACGTTAAATTCTATCACATCAGGATTATGCATTCCCCAATTCTGCTACTTCTTACTATGTCTAACTCTTACCAAGAATGTCTGCAATATTCTATCACTGAAACTGTTCTTTCTAACAAGCTAACTTCATGTTCTTAAGTTCATTTCACAAATCCAGGACCTGCAAGCGCAGTATGAATCCAGCTGACATTTCCATGCTCTTGTATCTGAACCATTGGCCTTGGCAAAAAGCTATATTTTTGTGCAGACTGGCACAACCATGAGAGTGTGTGCACATTGCTATTGGAGGGTAACTATTTCCCAGAAGTCTTCCATTAATCCATTCTTCTATTTCAAGCTGTCGCCCTGTCCTCAAGCTTCTAAAAGTTGTGTATCTCAATGTTCCATGAAGCTGATGATCCACCTCCTCTTTAATAGGGGCTATAAAAACCAACAGACAGGAACCTCCTCAACTTCTGTTACCAATTTCATAGCTTTTCTACACTTCAATGTACTTTCCTCTTCTGCCCTACTACAATTCTAGCACCTTACTCATCTCCCAGAGCTCATAACTTTCTGATAACTTTCTCCTAATTCCAGGGGTTGCAATTTCTCCACATATGCTATATCTGGGTCAAATTCCTCTTTTTCATAAATAACAACAAAGAAAGCAACCAGAAAGAACTGAAATGTGGGAGGCAAGCCAGCAGGACTTACTAAATTGCTGGAGTAGGTTTAACTTAAAAATAGGCTGGGGCTTATTTCTCTCCAGTGTTCTGACAAACCACAATTTTTTTCACCTGGATGAAATTATTTCTTGGTGGTCCTGTTTTTCTGCTTATTTTCAACCCTAGCTATTTTATCCTCACTAAGTCTCATTTTTTTTTCAGTCTCTTATTTCTCCACCAACCATAATGCGGTTCTGCCTCCACTGTTGTGTTATAGCTGCCTTCACTAAGGCTGCCAACAACCTTCACTCATGGTGGACATACCAGATGGCTTTCAATCATTAGCGCATTTGACCTTACGGAAACATTTGCCATTGTTGGTTACACACACTTCCTTCTTAAGCCTCTACTCTTTCTGGCCTCTCTCATTTTTCCTTTTCAATTTCTTTGGACAGTTCTAAGTCCTTAAATAGCCATATTATTTTTTTTTTTCATTTTCTATATTTGCTCCTGGGCCAATCTCACCTAATTTTATTGGTAAACTGATAAAGCAGACCCATTTTTGGCCCTGGCCAAGGCACAGCTATTTGTAAACAACTTTTTGTTTTCTGTCTCCCCTTGAATGTTTCAACTTACCTTGAACTGTTTCGGAAGCAAGGAATGACCATTCAAACACCTCTCACACATCTGTTCCCCCCATGTTTCTTTAAAAGTGCAGAGCCATAAATAATTCAAGACAGATTTTGGACACTCATTTTGTTCCATTTTGCCTATGCTTCCTGTACCACTATCTTAAGCAGGGTAACTTAAAAATCAATCTGTCTGTCCTGTCCCTTACGGCTAGCATCTTCACTGCTCTATGTTTACTTCTTATTTAGACTACTAATTATTTTGACATTTTTGCAGTGTATTATCTTTTAATGCTACATCCTTAGTGCGTAGTGAAAAAATGATGATGGCTCATTGGTGATGGCTCATTGGTGTAGGTGTAATCTTTGCTTTGAATACAGAACAGTATTTGGCACGTGAGTGTGTGTGTGTGTGTGTGTGTGTGTGTGTATACGTGTACATGTATATGTTATATTTGTGTGTTAATGACATATTATCTTTCTCAAGCTAGACTCTGGTATTCAACAAAAATAGCCTTTGGAAATTTCATATCCAAAGAAACTGCAGTGTCATTCAGTCTGCTGTTATAGCTGAAATGCCTTCAATGGATATATTTGCTGCAAAAGTAAGTCTAAAACTTGTTAAACAGCCATCTGCCTCTGCCATACTGTGTCCCTTTAGCCCCATGGCTACCCACAGGGGGTGCCCTTCAGTTTTTTGCTCTTGTCTCAGCCTATGAAGAATCTCTGCCCTCTAACAGTCTACACTGTTCTCTTACTCCAGCAGCTTCTGTTTATTGTTTTTTTCATTCTAGTTGTTCTTCCTTCAGACAGGCACAATTTGACCTCCAAATGAATTTCCAGTTTTATTTTCTGCTTCACATTTCATAGAGCATCTCATGCCTTTTTAAACATCTGCAGTGTCTCTATTATGTACTGCCATTAAAACACTCATCAGTTTTTCCACTACACATAATAGAAACCCCTTGATAAGTAAATGAAGCAATCAAGTAGTCACTAAAGCTAATCATCCATCTCCTCCTAACCCATCCATCCATCTTTTGTTTTTCCTCTTTACTGTTTCCAGCTTTTGGTTTTTTCTTTTTTTGTCTCCCATGGACATAATAATAGACAAACTGGAATGAACATGAGAGTAATAAGAGTAGAAAACATGCCAGCTGTTTTCCTGTTAAGTTCGTTTTGATTCCATCTTAGTCCTCTGGCTATTCTATCTTGGACATAATAAAATCTGAACCACTCTCTTTCTAGTGATATTTAGTGTCAATTACCTTCTTTTTTCACTGTTTTTAATTTTTTTTCTATTAATTACAGTTTATTCACTTTGAATCTCATCTGTAGCCCCTTCCCTTCCGCCCTCCCAGTCTCATCCTCCCAACCTCATCTCCCATGCCCCTCTCCAAGTCCACTGATAGGGGAGGTTCTTCTCCCATTCCATCTGACCCTAGCCTATCAGGTCTCATCAGGATTGGCTGCATTGTCTTTTTCTGTGGCCTGGTAAGGCTGTTCCCTCCTCAGGGGGAGGTGATCAAATTGCCAGCCATTGAGTTCATGTCAGAGACAGTCCCTGTTCCCCTTACTAAGGAACCCACTTGGAGACTGAGCTGCCATGGGCTACTTCTGTGCAGGGGTTCTAGGTTATCTCCATATATGATCCTTAGTTGGAGTATCAGTTCCAGTAAATTTCCCTATGCCCAGAGTTTTTGGTTCTGTTGCTCTCCTTGTGGAGCTCCTGTCCCCTCAATGGCAGAGAAATACTTAAAGAAATCTCAACATCCTTAGTCATCAGGGAAATGTAATCAAAATGACCCTGAGATTTCACCTTACACCCACCAGAATGGCTAAGATCAAAAACTCAAGTGACAACACATACTGGAGAGGAT